GATGATGATGATGATGAGGAGGAGGAGGAGGAGGAGGAGGAGGAGGAGGGAGGAGGCCCTCGTAGCTCAGCTTGCGGAACTCGTAGCTCAGCTGGTGGCTCTCGGGGTCCTGCTCGTGGTCCTCGTAGCTGAGCTTGATGCTCCCGTAGCGCAGCAGGTGGTCCTCGTAGCTGTGTCGGCGGCTCTCGAGGCTCTGCTCGTGGACCTTGTAGTTCAGCTGGTAGCGCTGGTAGCTCTGCTGGAGGCCCTCGTTGCTCTGCTCGTGTCCTGCGTAGCTCAGCTTGTGGCCTTCGCAGCTCTGCTGGTGGCCCTCGTAGTCCAGCTGGTGGTCTTCGTAGCCCTGTTTGTGGCCCTCGTAGCTCAGCTTGCGGACCTCGTAGCTCAGCATGTGGCCCTCGTAGCCTTGCTGGTGGCTCTTGTTGATCAGCTGTCGGCACTGGTAGCTCAGCTGCTGGCTCTCGTAGCTCTGCTTGTGGCCCACGTAGCTCAGCTTGTGGTCCTCGTAACTCAGCTGGTGGCTCTTCGTAGCTCGGCAAGTGGTCTTCGTAGCTCAGCTGGTGGCTCTCGCAGCTCTTGCGCGTCCTGCTTCTGGCCCTCGCAGCTCTGCTGGTCTTAGCCCCGGCGGTGGTTCCCCGCAGCCTCCGCGGGCGCATTGCTCCCCCGCGTGGCCTCCTCCTTCGTGACCTTCACCTCCGCCTCGCAGCTGTCGCTCACCCAAGTGCCGGGCGCGGAGGGACGGGGGGGACCAGCCGAAACCAGTCGCCCCCTTCCTCTCGCCCCCTTCCTCGCCTGGGATGTAGACGTCCTGGAAGCCGTCGTGCATCTGGAAGTCATAGCCACACTGGTAGCCGTCGTAGCCCTGGCGGTCGAAGCTGCTCTGGAGGTCGTCGTCACTGTGAGCCGTCGCAGCCTGGGTGGCCTTTGTAGCCCTTGCCGTAGCTGTCGTGGCACGCGAGGCCTCTTGCTGGCTGGATGCTGACGCACGGCTCTGAGGCTGCCTGTTACGCAGCTCCTGGCCGTTTCCCGCCTCGTGGCGCTCCGGAGCGAGCGCCTTCGTGGCGATGCTCTTGAAATCAGCGTAGCTGGCTGCGTGGCCTTCACGGGCGGGGTAACGGGCGCGGCGCAGCGCTGCGCGCACCGGCCTCGGCCAGCATATGACGTAGAAGCCTGCCGGCCGGAAGTGTACTCGCGGTATTCTCATTCGTAGCCTTTCTACATGTTCGTCTTGTCGCACTCGCTGTAGCACTCCATCGCCACCCGCGGTCGCCAGCGGCCTCCCAGCCACCAGCCGCCGCTGCGCGCGGGAGCGACGCCACAGCCCCGCGTAGGCGGAGGGAGTGGTGTGGGGGTAGCCTCCCTCTCCCCGCGAGGCTACTGCGGCTGCGCAGACCGCCTGGGGCCAGCCCCCGGGGCGCGCCGCGAGGCGCGCGGGGGCCAGTGCGGGGGATGGATCCCGCATATGGCCTTCCTCCTCCTCCTCCTCCTCCTCCTCCTCCTCCTCCTCCTCCTCCTCCTCCTCCTCCCCCTCCTCTATGTCTCAGACCAGCCGCTGGAGCAGGGACTCGAATCGTAAGCCCTGCTCCTGCTGCGCATGCTCCTCCTCTTCTTCTTCCTCCTCCCCTTTCCCCTCCTCCGAGAAAGGGTGCCCGCGCTTGCCTTCTGATCGGTACGCCCTCGATTTCCCCCTGCCCTCGCCACCTCTTGCCCGTCCTGGCCGTTCCCTCTCTCCCCGTTCCCCTCTGTGGGCAGCGACCCCCTCATCGTCCCTGCCACTCCCTCTCTTTGCGGCATCTGCAGATGTGAAGGAACTTCGCGGTAGTGATTTGGACTCGTGGCAACGCAACATCTGCGTGCCGACGCCCGTCGGCACGCAAAGGATCCGCGTGACGACGTGCGTCGGCACGCAGAATGTTCGCGTGACGCAGGAGGATGTCGGCATGAGGTTGCTAACGACAACTCTTAGAAAGTCCAATTGCATTCACCGATGGCGTACTATCCCCCCCCGTCACGGCGCGGCAGGTCGCCGGCAGCGCCCCGGAGAAGATGTTCGACCGGGGCGGCAAGCTAGCCGAGGCTGGCACGCAGGTCTGGCTCGCCCTTCCTCGGGCCGCCTCGGGGCGCGCGTCACACGGGGCCGGCGCTGGTTAATGCTGACGTTGGGCGGCCGATCCACCGCGATCTCCTCAGGTCGGCCTGGGTTGAGGAGTCGTTCCGAGAGGGAAATATTCCGATCCCTCGTCGCCGCGGCTGAATTGCTCTTGGTGGGTAGGGGTATCGGCATCTTGTGTTCCCCAAGCCCCATGGAGCCACCCCCCCCCTCCCCTCCCTCCGCCGACCTGGGCTTGGGGAGCTACTAGTGCGGTTGGCTGGGGTTCGCGGCGCGTGCTTGGCTGACCCGCCTGGCGCAGACCTGGCTTTGTGCGCCCCTGGCTCCTCTCTGCCTTCCTTATGTCACTGCTGAGGTGCCCAAGTGTCCTTCCAGTGGCCGAAGTTTGAGCGCACGCAAACCCTCGCTGTCGTCATCGCATGGCGCCATTGTTGCCGACTCCTTCGTCCTCGCTCCTCATCGCTCCTCCTCCTCCTCCTGCTCCTCCTCCTCCTCCTCCTCCTCCTCCGCCTCTGGTCGAGCTCGCTGCCCTCGAATTCCAGCTAATTTTATGTGCGGGTAAGCCGCGTAGCAGTTGTGAGGTTGACTCTGTCGAGAGTTGGTCGTCCCGATCTTTGTATTTGAATGGCCTGTTTGTTCCCAACCATCCTGTGGTGTTGGGTCCTCGTTTTGAAGAGACGGTGCCCCGCGTTCCTCCTTCCTTCCTCCTTCCTGCCCTCCTCCCCCTCCTCCTTCCTCCCCCTCCTTGCCTCTGCTCTCGGCACACCTCTCACACGCTTCGTAGCCCCATAGGGAGCTCCACCGAAGGTCCCAGTGTGGGGGGGGGCGCATGCGGTTCCCTCACCCAGGGCAGCGTTTCCTGGCCCCATAGGGAGCTCCACCGAAGGCCCAAGTGGGGGTGGGCGCATGCGGTTCCCCCACCCACGGCAGCGTTTCGTGGCCCCATAGGGAGCTCCACCGAAGGTCCCAGTGGGGGTGGGCGCATGCGGTTCCCCCACCCAGGGCAGCGTTTCTTGGCCCCACAGGGAGCTCCACCGAAGGGGGTGGGCGCATGCGGTTCCCTCACCCAGGGCAGCGTTTCGTGGCCCCATAGGGAGCTCCACCGAAGGCCCCAATGGGGGTGGGCGCATGCGGTTCCCCCACCCAGGGCAGCGTTTCGTGGCCCCATAGGGGGCTCCACCGAAGGCCCCAGCGGGGGTGGGCGCATGCGGTTCCCTCACCCAGGGCAACGTTTCGTGGCCCCATAGGGAGCTCCACCGAAGGCCCCGGTGGGGGTGGGCGCATGCGGTTCCCCCACCCGGGGCAGCGCTTCGTGGCCCCATAAGGAGCTCCACCGAAGGTCCCAGAGGGGGTGGGCGCATGCGGTCCCCCGCCCAGGGCAGTGCTTCGTGGATAGGGAGCTCCACCGAAGGCCCCAGTGGGGGTGTTCGCATGCGTCTCCCCTGCCCAGGACAGCGCTTCGTGGCCCCATAGGGAGCTCCACCGAAGGCCTCAATCGGGGTGTTCGCATGCGTCTCTCCCACCCAGGACAGCGTTTCGTGGCCCCATAGGGAGCTCCACCGAAGGCGCCAGAGGCGCAGTTCGCATGCGTCTCCCCCACCCATGACAGCTCTTCGTGGCCCCATAAGGAGCTCCAGCGAAGGTCCCAATGGCGCAGTTCGCATGCGTCTCCCTCGCCCAGGGCAGCGTTTCGTGGCCCCATAGGGAGCTACACCGAAGGCCCCAGTGGCGGTGTCCACATGCGTCCGCGCCACCAATTTCGGCGCACCCCTCACAAGCTTCGTGGCCCCATAGGAGCTCCACCGAAACCGGTACCCACAATGCGGCACTCGCAACTGCACATGGTTGGGTCCTTCGTCAGGCTAATTTTGCTTGGGTTAGGTGCTCTAAGTACAAGTTGTTGTAGTTAGAGAGCCAAATCTGACCCTCCCTTCCCTTCTTCTTCTTCTTCTTCTTCTTCTTCTTCTTCTTCTCTTATTGTTATTATTATTATTTTACTTCTCCTTCATCCTCCTTCCTCTTCCTTGCAGCCTTTTGTTTTTGTTATCCTCCTCAGTTCTCTCCCCGCCACAGTCTGCTGCATGAGCTTGCCTATTGCAGGCCAGTTTATGTAGCTGTCCTGGTTCGCTTGGCGACCTTCCGATTCGCATTGCCGATGCCGCATCGTCAAGTCGAGCAGGGATGGTCGCGCTCCGCACTCCTTCCTAAACATATGGGTTGCTGTGGTTGCTGGGTTACCCGTCTTGGGAACGATCATCACCATCATTTGCCGGTGCAGTGCATCATGTGTGCGACCGCCACCTGGAACGTAGCTTCTTGCTCTTCGCCCATCCAGAAACGATGCCCAGGCGAGTTGCCTTGATCAGGGAATTGCATGCGCAAGCAGTGGAACAACAATGGAATCAACCTGAGCAGGCACAGGAGTCGACCACCATACTGCCTTCTCGGATCTTTCCATACGGGGGCCTCTCGGCAGCGTGTTTGGGCCATCTTTGGGCACTCACGAGGCAACATCGAAGGCCATCCAGGCTCTCTTGCGGCCGTCTCGGGGCTCTCTTGGGGACTTTTCGGGGGTCTTGGGGGCCGTCTTGTGGGTCATCGGTCAAAGACGAGGAGCCCTCCATTCAAGTACACTAGTCGAAGCCCTCAGCAACGCTTCTTGAGGCCATCTTGGGGCGCTTTTGGAGATCTCTTGGGCGCTCCTGGAGCCGTCTTGGAGCCCTGCTGGGCCCATCTCGGAGCTCTGTTTGGCCATCTTGGAGTCATCTTGAGGCCTCAGGGGCCCACCGGAACTAAAACAGCGAGAAGGCCAAACACATTGTTCTCCCACACGTTTTGAACGAATTCTAGACGCTTCGCGTAACCCCACCAGATTGCGAACGCATCTATTCGAGGTTGTCTCCCGGGCCTGACGTGCCTCGTACGGTTACTGACACTACGAATTTCGCACCTTTTGGCTGCGTTGGTGCGTACTCTGAAGCTGCGACGGTTCGCTGGCGCTGTCAGAGTCCAACCTCTCCCTACGGTATGCAGTCTGGCGACAGCTTGCGTGTCTCTCGGTCGCTTCTGCTTGAGCATGGCAGACACCCTGGGACCCCTTGGTACGCCATTCCCGCGCCGAGGTTGGCAGACTCCCTACTGTTCAGATAGTGTCTCAAGCGGCGTACTGCTTGGCTATGGCCTCTGACACTTTGGGGGTATTTGCATCGCGCCACTTTGGCAGCGTAATTACTGCTCCCTGGGTGCTGGTCCCTGGTCGTCAGACTCCCTGGGTTGCAGCACCCTTGCACCCGCCGCCCCGGCGCCGGCCGCGGCCCGCGCGCGCGTCCGGCCAATTAGTTTCGGCCGCAGCCCGACCGTTACTCGCCGCCGCTGGCGCTTCCGCCCGCGGCTGTAAAAACAATAACCCCACCAGAATTATCTGGCTCTGTGCCCCAGTCAGTCCGAGTGACCCGCCCTCTGGAGCCTTCCTTGGGGCCGCAGATCAAAAAAGTACCCCCACCAGATACTCGGACAAGCGCGCCCGCTGGTGGGCAAAAAACGACTCCTACATCCAAGGCTGACTGTGCCGGACACGGCCCACCTCAGCATCCCAGGGCTTCCTGCCCAAGGAAACCTGTCCCCCTCCTCAACGGCTCCTCTCTGCCCCGAAGGGGCCAGTTTCACCTCGCCGCGCCCGGCTCAGGCCGTAATACCTGGGGGCAACCTCCGCTGGGGCGTAGGCTAGCCCCACATCTCACCCACGGCGCGGCATTGCTAGACAGCCCACTTTGGACAAGTGGACCTACCCTCCTTTTCGGGCTAGCGCGGAGGGTCTCCCACCCCAGTACCCGACATCTCACCCTCTCGGGCACGGCGGGGACGGCCCGGCCCGGGCAGACAGGCCCCCGGCTCATGTATTTTGCTGTCCGACGACGACAGCCAACCCGCCCGCCTGAGGCGGGGGGGCGGCCACTGGACCCCCCCTCCCCCCTGCGCGGCGGCAGGCACGACCCAGCCAGGTCACAGTTTTGGCAAGTACTGATTTCAGCGGCGGTCAGGTGCGACCCTGGAGGACCAACGCCCACCATCCCCGCCGAGGCATCACTCTCCGCGGGAACGGACCAACACCCAGCGCAGCCTGAGGTCCACGCAGGACCCCACCTCCCTCGGCTTCATAACCTTCCAAGGCCCACCCACCATCTCATTGTCTTGAGCGGCGATCAGCTGCGACTCTGGAGGAACCAATAACCACTCACCCTGTCCCACGGGTGCGGGGCCAGACCGAGGGAAGGGGCGGCTTTCCCCCCGCCTCTCTCCTCTAGGGCCAGGCGGGTGTCCGCCGCTCTTGGCCCCGGGGCCCGCCTGACGTTCTGACCGGCGTTGGTGCTGCTGCCCCCCTTCCTTGGGCCGCCTGTGTCCCTCGCAGTTCGTGTTTTGTCTCATCACGCTCAGCGGTGGGCAGCTGCGGCCCCGGAGGGCCACGTGGTGTTTGTTGACGTTCCGGGAGCTTTGGCGGAAGTGCCAGCGGCGGGTTGGGTCTGACTTTGAGTCCGATGGCCCTGTGTCTACCACTGTGCAACTCCCCCCTGGCCCGTCGCCCTACGACAACGGCACGCCCCGCTCGCACTGGCACCGCGTGCCCCGTGAGGTACAGCTCGACCAGTCTCTTGGGAACTCACCTGCTCTGGTCCTGTTGTGCCGTCGCGGCACCAGCACCTCCAGTGCAGCTCCCCTTCCCTTTCCTCGCTGGCGATGCTGTCCACGCCAGCGGGTTTCTTTCCCACTCAGTGGCCAGGCCTCGCCGGCACGCGCTGCGTGGCTCACAGTCGCTCGGTTACCCCCGTGCACTGTGGGGTGGTCTGGCAGGGGCTGGCCTTGGTGCAGAGTGGTTCAGCCTTCCGCAACAGGTACTTAGTACTGCCCTCTACCCTCAGCTTCCCCAGTTGTGTTGCACCACGGCTCTCGACTGCTCAGCCTGTCTGGCTGGGTCTGGTCGTCAGGGCGTTTGGAGCCTGGCGCCCCATCGGCGACTCACTCCAGTGGCCGCATTTGCCATCCCCCAGCACGTCGGGCTTGACCAAGGTGGTCCTCGTCCTTGTGTTGGCGGCGCCATGGCAAGCCTTGAATTCCGGGACAGTTTGTCCGGTGCACGTGCTCGAGCTTGCAGGGCGATGTCCGCTGTCAGCTCCACCCCCCTCAGCTTCGCAGCTGCTGTCTGAGTGGGCTGGCCGGCTTGCGCCTGTCTTAGCTAATTCGCCTAGTTCGCGTCCCGGACTTTGCTCTTGCCGCCTGACCGTCGTCTCGCGGCCGCGACCGAAAAGTAACCCCAGCGTTCTCTCTACCAGACTGCGACCGTCCCGCGCGCGAGGCCGCAGGGCCCCCCCCCCCCCGGCCCAGGGCGCTGGTCTGCT